ATGATTAACACAACTTTTATTCTATTTCGTTCATTGTTGGTGATAATATGTAACCTCCATATATGCATTAACATTTACTAACCATCGTTGCTTTGTTATTCTAATCAGATTAATGTGTGCTACATATTATATTGTAGCCTTGATAGCACAAATTTTAAAATAATATCTACAATAGACCTACAATCCAAAATCACGAAATAAAATGTGAAGAAAGATCATAAAAGCTGACCTCATCGTGTCCAACCATGCTAGGAGAAACACGACGCACAGAAATACAAGGAGGGCCTCTGGGTTTGATAGTGTAACACCTAGTGAATTGGAGGGATTGTGTGACAACAAAGACCAGGCGCCTATATTTGTGGAATGGAAAACATGGTGGCTGGATATGTACCATAAAGCTAAGTGCCATTGGATAACTCGTACCTTGGCTTCACTCCTGAACACATATAACAACCAAATTAGACCAATAATTGCTCCTGTACTAGATACACTGATAGTGTATCTATGTTATATGTCAACTCACTGCTTAACATCCTCAGACTTACAACGATGAAGTTGATGTCTTATGATTGATCGTGTGCGTTTGGTAATGGCTTTTATATGTATTAATCAAATACAGCTCATTAATTACCAGTAAAGTCATATTCACAAAATTACGACGTGTATGCCCATGTGCACATCATAACTATTAACAATATCTATATTATTCATAATAAACAACACCCTCTGAGTTAATAGATACAACCCATGATGGTTCTTGTCGTGGCACTACCAAGATGAGAGCCATTGAATGACTAGGGACAGTAAAATAACAGGGAAAGAAAAATCAGCGAGCTTTGAATTGAAAACAGACAATTAAAAAGACTGTGAGGCTTTATGCGAACAGATCTTCGTGAAATAAAAATCGTTACTATACGTGTACATATACTTCTCTCGCCGTACTCTGCGTACTCGTGAGTACATGGAGACAAGCTCAAAATACAAAGTACTCTTTAGAATGTGTCCATACATTCAGCGCGCAGTGCACACACGCGAGTATACACCCATATATTCCGCTGTCCACGTTCAGTGCGTGAAAAACTCGACGCTGAGATGCACGCTCGCACGCGTGTCCGTTGCGGAACAGGGGCGACACGACCGGGAACCCATTCTTTCCAAAGTGCCAGTTTAAAGAAAGAAGAAAATCGAAGTGTCGCGTCGTCCCTGTTGCGAGCGAGGCGACGCGCGCCGACTGACAAATCCTCGTGAACTCACGAACCGCGTGTCCGCTTCGTGAAACCTGAGAAAAATCTGTCCGGATGTGTATTCAATGCTGGTGACGGTCGTGTTACGATCGTCGTGTTTTCATGGACGAGTAGAAAGACGCAGCGTGCGCGTTGGAAAACTGACAACACCACGGTCGTAGGGGGCTGTGTTCCTCCATTTAAAGCAGCTTCGGGCAGCATTTCAGCGCCCGTCGGCGTCGTCCACAGCGACGGCGTCGCAAGGACGACGGCGTCGGTTGATTCAGACTACTCGCGTTCATCTTGGATCAGCTGGCTGGCATCTCCGAGTTCTGACTCTGCGACAGCTCCAGTAAATGGCACTCTGATAGAGGGATCTGTCTTGTACGGGCGCTTTGCTTTTTCTGGAAGCGAGACGAACAGAGTTTACGTCAGTGAGATCCGTTAACGTTCACCTAACACGTTCGCGGACAGTGGAAATTTCAATGAGCCGCGAAAATAGGGAAAATGCGAATTCAGTTCTCCGAGAGTTAGAGTGTTACATGTAATTTTTATAGTACTGTTAGTTGTCTTTGTATTTTCTTAGTATTAAGAGTATTATTGCTACTTGGGACTCTGTGTTCAAAGAGTACAATTTGAGAAATAAATCGGCAGATCAGTTTGTTTGCTGTTGTTGATTTAAATTCTATGACCAATTTATTCGATAAGATCCGATCCTTAAATTGTTGACTCCGGGATAAGCTAATGGACATGTGCTCAAGTTTCGCTACAGGTGGGGGAAAGGGGAGAGACTTATAAATACAGGTAAGACAGCAGAGTTTCCTCAGACTACTCCGAATTTTCAGAGACGACGGAACGTTGAGTAATATAGATCTTTCCTGCATCATCAGTGTATTGAGATATTAATTGCCCTCACTTTCCTGTCGTGTCAGTAACAATTAACTTCACTTAATGTTAACTGATACTCTTTCCTCAAAATTCTATTCAGTCTTCATTCTTTATTCGCTGCATAAGTTCGCCGCGAGGAGCCCAATTTTTTGGCTCATAATACATATTTCCAAGGACAACATTCTACAGCAGTCCCATTCCTAATTATTTATATTTGTTTATTTATTTTTAAATCTTTATCTAATTTTTACATTTTCGTACAAACTCTCGGATAAATTTAAAAACTTCAACACCTTTAATTATTGGGCTTTAGAGAACATTGGTTTCTATGCATGAAAAATCGCATATTAAGGCGTTTAAACTAAAAGAAAACCTGTAACATCGAATATGGAGATTTTAAAGGTTGCTAAGTGGCTCAAATATTCACACACCTAAGTGCGCAAAGTAAGGAAAGCTTCCGATTTTGGAATTCTTAGAGCCTCACGAGCTGTAAACTTGGCTCAATACCTCGAAAACTGACACACCTATGTGCACAACCGAAAAGAGCTATCGATTCTGAAATTTTGGCGCCCTAAGATCTGAAAAATTGACTCAAAAGCTCGCAAGCTCATATAACTATGTGCTCAAACTAAAAAAGCTCTCGAATGTGGAATTTTGGAGCCACACAAGCTGCGAAATTGGCTCAAAAGCTCCCAAAACTCACACAACTACGCGCTCAAACTAAAAAGCTCTGTATTTTAGAATTTCTGGCGCCCTAAGATCTGTAACAATTTGCTCAAAAGCTCGCAGTCTCAGATACCTAGCCGCTCAAACTAAAAAAGCTCTGTTTTGGGAATTTCTGGCGCACTAAGAGCTGAAAAATTGGCTCAAAAGCTCGAAAACTCGCCCGCCTATGTGCTCAAACTAAAAAAGCTCTGTATTTTAGAATTTCTGGCGTCCTAGGAGCAGTAAAATTGGCTCAAAAGCTCCAAAAACACACATCTATGTGCTCAGACTAAAAGAGGTCTCGATTTCGGAATTTTTTGAGCGCTACGAGCAGTAAAATTAGCTCAAAAGCTCGAAAACTAGCACGCCTATGTGCTCAAACTAAAAAAGCTCTGTATTTTAGAATTTCTAGCGTCCTAGGAGCAGTAAAATTGGCTCAAAAGCTCCAAAAACACACATCTATGCGCTCAGACTAAAAGAGGTCTCAATTTCGGAGTTTTTAGAGCGCTACGAGCCAAAAAACTGGCTCAAAAGCTCGCAAGCTCACCCGTCGAAGTGCTCAAAAGCTCAAAAGGTCATTCGGGAAATTGTTTAAGTTAAGAATCGTATTAATCTTATATTTTTGGAGTTTAAGGAGTTCCAGCTGATGTTCCCAAAGACTTGAGTTCAGATGCTCAAAGTAGTACAGCTCAAAAGTTGTCGGATGTTTCGAGACGTGTATCCTGACTTTTCCCACCAACACTCAAACTGTCAACTCAATTACGTACCGAATAGATTGAGTGTTAGTAGGAAAATCGAGTCTAAACCCTCCAACGATCCAAACGTTTTGAGCTCTACTAGTCTGAGCATATGGAGCCAAGGATATGAGAATGATCAATTTGGGAACAATACAAACTCTAAATAGTACATAGGGGTCTTAAGGGTTTGAGGCTTAACACGAAGCAGCTGGCACTTATTAAGTAAGATTGTGGAGATTTCTTTTCAGTCCGAGGATCCTCAAGGGACTGAGCAAATTCTACCCTGCCACCTGTATTTATAACCCCCCACCCTTTCCCTGTACCATGGGCGCATGCTCAAATTGACGCGCCGATTTCACACAGAAACTCAAAACAAGATTGAAAACCGAAGCTCACCTGTCTTCTGAACGGGAAGCAGCCCCTGTTCTCGTTATTAGGCGGCGGATGATTAATCAGCAAGTCAGGAGTCGGCGTATTGTTCGGGCCCAACACGTTCAGCTCCTTAAAACACTCAGTCTCGATCATCTGAAACAGACAAGCGTATTCCGAGCTGCATGAAACGCATCTCGAGCGTCTCTGATCGAAGACAGAGCACCTTTAATCGCGCTGTCCCGCGATAAGCTTAAAACTACGATTGATAGGATGGGCTTCCGCTTTGAGCTCTGCCCCGGACGGGTCCCGGGATTTAAATAAAAGCGATCGAGGTCCACTCGTCGAGCCTCTGACGTAAAGGAACACTCCACTCGGACCATATTTTTCGGTGCAAGTGGACGGAGGAACCGTTTTGGGTATACCCATGACGCGGCCCGTCCGCTGCGCTCTTTGAAGCTCGATATACGTATACAGAGTGCCCCATGAATCGTAGTACAACCGAGAAGGAAGTGAATCTATAAAATGACGAGCCAAAAATAGAATAAAATTGTCTCATGACATGAATCTTGACATTGGACTGGTACTCGGGAGAAATGGAGTTTGCTAGTCACAGGCAGACATGTTGGTTGCGGGGAAGTTACATGAAATATGCCTGAAATGCGCTGTTCTTCGATTAACCCCATGGCTTGTGATTTCTTAACACCTTGAATGCCATGGGGGTCACCGACGACCCCCAAGCAAGTCGAATTACTATAATTCACTCAAACGATGATTATTCGCAAACATTTCTATGTTATTAATAATGCTATCCATCGCGGTGGCATTCAGTTTGCTGAACGTGCAATGATAATAATCCAATTCAAACAAATGATTTTGCGGACGAAGATACTTTGAAATGTACACAGTCTTCAACAGATGAAGTTAAATTAAATATCAATTACTTAATTAATAGGAAAACAGGAAACTACGTGCTGCTGCTCTCTTGCTGTTTCACTAATTATCATTTGTTCGCGACAATAATAATAAATAATTATTCCACAATTTCTATTTCTTTTGTACAAAATTTCCTTCGTGGTTGTACCATGATTTCGCGACTACCCTGTACGGATGGTATTCGTTAAAAGGCTCACCTCGTTCTGCCACGGGATGGACACGCTGCCGGTATTGAATTTACTGTAGAAGGTGTCATCGGTCGCGTCCAAATTGACACCTTTCACCGTCGAGAACTGCTCGATGTCCAGGACGTCCTTAGCGTAGACCGCGTGCGGCTGTAAGCGAAAATTCAGCAACGATAACGACCACCGTTCAACGGACGTGTCTCGATTCGCAAAAACTGAAACGAAGGCAAAGGAGACTCGCTACCGTTTTCAACCCTTTGCACTCGGAAGTTTTATACTAGAAATATTTCAGCAATTTCTGATGGGTTAAACACATGTGAAACTCGACGAGAAATCGTACATTGAGGAACAAAGCTATTTTATTTCAATATTTAAAGTTGATGCATTGTAGTAAGTATAATATTAACCCCTTCTATAATATCCAGTCAGACTCGCCATGGAAATTTTCAAACGAATTTAGCAAACGTAATTTATTTATTTTTTATACGAATAAAATATTATTTCTATTATCAATCTTTAAGTTTTAGAGTAAACGTAGATAGAGAATAATTATAAAATTCTTTTGTTTCTCTAAATTATTAACGATATATCATCAGTTGAAAGAAATCATAGAACCTGTAGTTAATTATCAAATTTTATAATTTTACTTATGAAATGAAATATTATTTCTATTATCAATTTTTAAGTTTTAGAGTAAACATAGTGAACAATCATGAAATTCTTTTGTTTCCCTAAGTTATTAACGATATAGTTTCATCAGTTGAAAGAAGTCATTGGACAAGTGATTAATTATCAAATTTTATAATTTTACTGCATTAAATCGAATGTTATTTCTATTATCAATCTTTAAGTTTTAGGGTAAACATACTTACAGAACAATCATAAAATTTTCTTCCGCTAAATTATTAACGATATAGTTTCATCGGTTGAAAGAAATCATAGAACAAATGGTTAAATATCAAATTTTTCAGTTTTACTGTACGAAATCCAATATTATTTCTATTATCAATCAAGTATTAGAGTAAACATGAATACAGAACAATCATGAAATTCTTTATTTTCATGTGAAATCAGGTGGCGAGTGAGAGGCCACCTCTCGAGTGCAAAGGGTTAATTAAATCAACTATTCCCCGTTCTGAGCAACCGTCAGCGTAATACGCTGATGCGATCCCGCCGGCAAGAAACAATTTAGGGTACCCTCGTCAGGAGAACGTTACTAGAATTCTTGGTCGTGCAATCAATGCCAAGCGCTGTGCCATTATTAAAATTCTTGGGACGCGGTGATCTTGGTAGCAAAACGATCTCCCAAGCGAAAGTTATTTTAACACGTTGAATACCATGGGGCTCACTGGCGACTCCCGACCAAATCGAACCACTATAGTTGACGAAATTAAACCATGATTGTTTGGAAACATTTCTATATTATAAATAACGCTGGCTGGTTAATGCAATTCAATCAATATTATCGATATTATATTTTTTTCGAGTATTTTCTACTATGAAATCGTGCGGTGTTCAACGTGTCAATAGTTCATTCGCCAGGGCGCATACTTTGGGTATTAAAGGAACTAGGCAGTCGATAGTTTCATTATTCTGATGTTTTTTTGAACGAGCTACTGCTTTTAAGGATAATTTTATGTATCTTAGAAGACCGGAATCTAGTATTAACCGTCTGCACTCGAAAGTTTCTTACTGTATAGACGTATTCGACATTTAGAGAGATATTCTTTGAAATTAACATGTCCAGTGCCACGTGTACCACATGTGGTACACGTTAATGTTTGTAACAAAATATTTTTAAGGGATACATGGTCGAGAATAGCTGTATACGTTACAAAGCACCGGAAACATCAAGAAACAATATCAAAATATATAAAATTAAAGAAAAACTTGAATATAACTTAATATTTTATTTAAAAAATCAATACAGTTCATAAGCAAAATATGACCGAAATTTCCGTGGCACGGAACGTGTTGAATAATGATAAAACAGTTAAATTAATAAGAAAGTTACTTTGTTTCAACATGTCACGTATCTATTATACAAAATTTAATTTATGATTCTGTAATATCAAGTGGCGAGCGAGAGTCACCTTTCGAGTGCAAAGGTTTAACCCCAAAATTACAAAATGAAAAACTCAAGATAAAATATTGAATAAATTATCAACACACGAAACATAGAAAACAATTCTGCCCCATAACGTATGCAAGATGTTCCTTTCATAAGTTGCAAATATTAATATTTCATCAAAAAATAATCGATGTCTGTAACGAAAAATATCATCGAGCGCAAAAGGTTGACAGACTGAAGCGCGGAAAAAATTATTTTACAAAGGCGTAGCATGAAGGTTGGAAACGGCCGCCCTAACACGTCGACTGCCACGGTGCTCACCGGTGACCGGCGCTTCGATGCTCGAAGATGATTACAATAAGAAAATTGCTATTGAATGAAAATATTCGAAACATTAACCCTTTGCACTCGAAGCTTTTTCTCATTGATATTACCAACAATTCGAACTGCTTCTAATAGAAAAAGCATATAAAAATATAAATAAATGATACGCGCATGAAAATAAAAATCATAGATGTACTTTACCGTTTTTCATCGATTATAGATATAAATGTTATAATATATTTAATGACAAAATTGTAGTTTGTAGTGACAAACTTTTAATTTCCCCGCCTAACAGTCGCCACCTGATTCTACGTAGCAAGTTTATAAAATTTTCAATTCAATATCAAACCTTGAGTAATGTATCATAAAACGAAGTAAAATAGTTCTGTCTCTTAATTTATAGAAGATAATTGTGTTGCGAAATCGTTAATATTTAGTCAGAAAGCAATGAATACTTGTAATGATAAATATTGTCGAGTGCAAAGGGTTAATTATTTCTAATACTATTTTCCTGTATTACAAAGGAATAAATCTTGCCATAACGAAACGCTCGAAATTATGGCAATCAACGTGCCAAAGTCACCTCCGAAACACCGTAAAGGCAACCCGAAGGAACCACGCGTCCAACCACGCGATAATAAGCCCTAACCTGAACACCCCTAAACAACGACAATGTGGAATCGATTTGAACGACACCTACTCACATCCGGCACAAACGGCGGTTCCCACATACCGGCCTCGACTCTCTTCCAGTTCAGGCACTGGAAGAAACTGTGGAGCTTCACCTCCTTCGCCCCGTGCCTGCCGCACTTGCACCCCAGCCTGTTCTTCGGGCTCTTCTTGAGGAGCTGCTGGCACAGGCTCTTCGCCTCCTCGGTGAATTTCGGCGAGTACCTTTCCTGGTCCTCCTTCACCCGCCTGTTGACCTCCTCCCTCTTCACCTTCTCCTTCCTCGCGCGAAACGGCGCCTGGCCTTCAATCATCTCGTACAAAAGACAACCGAAGCTGAACCAATCTGGCGAAAACGTGTACTTCTCATTGTCGATCACTTCCGGCGCCATGTAGCCCACCGTGCCCACCCGACCCCTCACCATGTCTCCCTCGGTGATCTCGACCGCCAGCCCGAGATCGGAGATCCTCACGTGGCCGTGATCGTCCAGCAGTATGTTCTCCGGCTTGCAGTCCCTGTACACGATCCCCTGCAGGTGCAGGTGTTCCAGGCCGCACACCACTTCCGCCGCGTAAAACCTCGCGCGGTTTATATCGAAACCCGGCTCGCCGCCCATGTTGTAGATGTGGAACTTTAGGTCGCCGCCGTTCATGATAGTCAGCACCAGGCAGAGGGCGTCCTTTGTCTCATAAGCGTACGCCAGCGAGACGACGAACTTCGAGTTGATCTTCTGGAGGATGTTCTTCTCGATTAAAACCATCGCTTCGCCCTTTCGCTTCTTGATCCGCTTCTTCTCGAGCTTCTTGCACGCGTACATCTTCCCCGTAGCGCGCACCTGGCACGCGCACACCTCGCCGAAACCACCCTTGCCGAGCACCCTGTACATGCGGAACGTCTTGTACGTGACCGGCTGCGCCTCCAGCCATTTCCATTGGAGGTACCTGGAAAAGTTCTGATGAGCCTCTGACGTTGGGAATCGTCGTCCTGGCTGGCTGGGGTTTGCGGAGGGCGGTGTCGTTTCGCTGGATTATTGCGAAGAAGGTGCCTGGAGACTTTTCGATGCTGCGAAGTGTGACGCTGCTGGAGTGTGTTGTTGAGGAGTGTGATACTAGTGGATTGTGTTGTTGAGAAATGTGACACTAGTGGATTGTATCGTTGAGAAATGTGACACTAGTGGATTATACTGTTGAGAAATGTGATACTAGTGGATTGTGTTGTTGAGAAATGTGATACTATTGGATTGGCTGTTGAGAATGTGACGCTGTTGAATTGTGTTGTTGAGAATGTGATGCTGTTGGAGTGGTTGTTGAGAAATTGATGCTGTTGGAGTNNNTCTATTGTTGAGAAATGTGATGTTATTTGATTGTGTTGTTGAGAATGTGATGTTATTTGATTGTGTTGTTGAGAACGTGATGCTGTTGGATTGTGTTGTTGAGAATGTGATACTGTTGGATTGTATTGTTGAGAAATGTGATGCTGCTGAATTGTGTTCATGAGAAATGTGATACTGTTGGATTGTGTAGTTGTAATGTTTAAGGTTTTTGGGAAGACTGATGTTTAGAGTCAACGCAAATTGTCTTCCTTTGGTTGTTAAGTATTTGCTACATTGGACGTTACCTTGTTAGATATCAGAATATAATATGAGTAAGTTTGTGTAAGGTAGGAAATGTATTTTGCTCGTAAGAGTCTATTTATGAAGGTACTTAGGATTCTTAAACCCTAGTTGAGAACAATCATTAAAAAACAATGAACTGTGAAGTTTGATAGAATCTACCAAGCTTCCAGCACTGGTATTTCCTACGTTCTGAAGCTAATACGAAAATATTGAACGCGATCTAATGCTGATCATTTTCCTCGAGGAGTTTCCTTTGTATTATAAATAAAAGATGTTACACAGCAATGACATTCATATTTCACGAACATTCGCATTTTATAAATTCCCCGGCGAAACAACGCAAGTCTCTCCGCGCGAAACAAAGTAAATAAACTCCATTCGCGGAGGATGAAAAGCACTTCAACGGCCCGTCGTTAAAGATTCCGACCGTACGAGCAGAATGGTAATAAACATGTTTCCGTTAGACGTCCAGAATCGACGAGGAAAAATATGAACCAGCGTGCAATATCGTATTTCAAGGAAACATCCGGCAGGAATAACGAGTCGAAAGTACCGAGGAAAACCGGCGGGGAAAATGATGCCGAGATAAACTCGTAGGAATGTCGCCGGCGGAAAAATGGCACTTTTAATAATGCCGCGGCGGCGGCGAACGGGCCGCGCGTATTCTTCGGATCCGCCGAGCGCGCGGCGCGACATTCAGGGAAATCCGAAGCAGGAAAACGTTTCGAAAGATTTCCTGCGCAACGGTAATGAATAAATGATGCTCGTAACGCGTCGAACGCCGCGTGGGTTACCGGTGACCTCCAAACGAACTCGATTACCGCAATTCCTTCGATTAAATGATTGCAACAAATAAATGAAATATATTGAATAATCGAAGGAGGTCGCGTTACACATAATTTAAGACTTCACGGGGAATGTAACCCCCGGATTCACCCCTTGCCTTGCGACAGTGAATTAGCCCCGTGATTCCGAAATAAATCTAATGAAAATGGAACCTTTTCCCTCGATTCGAAAGTCAGTACCGTACTTCTGTCTCTAAACATTCGATTCTAATACAAAATTTCAATAAATATATACTTATATATTATTAGTATATAGAATTTGTCCCATAGGAAATAACCAAGAATAACAAAACTCTAATAAAGACTCAATTCACCAATTGCTCTATTTCTCAATTGTGATTGATACAACTTTCATTAACGTTTATTCTACACTTTATTCTATTGTTCCTAGAAAGTTACGCGTTCATATAAATCGCGAAAGTAGTAGTTTCGAAACCGAAGTATTACAACGTGTATTTATTGCACGAACCGAAATCGACTTAGCTGTTACTAAATAATATTGAAAGAATTCGGTATCAAATTTCGGGTTCCGTAAATCTAGCGTTAATATAGGAAAAAGAGAAAAACTGAACGCATATTCTGTCCACCCCCGCTCTAAAATACAATCGATATTTTACTGAAACCTCCACGAGTCTCACATTGTCGCAAGGCAAAGATTCAACACACCAAAAACCGAACTTCCCAAATCAATTACCAAAGCACTCGATTCAACCCGCGATTCACTAGCAATCAAGATCTAAGACTTCGCGCGCGGCGTCCTCCGTTTTCCCAAAACTAATCACTTCGGCGAGCGAGCGCCTCGAACAATACCGATCGCCCACAAAACGAATGCCAAAGGCGAGAGGTCAAACGGCGCGACGTTCTCCCCGTAATGAACGCTCAGCGAGAACCGCGACGCCTCGCGCATTGTCCGGCATTCAACGCGCTAATGACCGTCGAGGATGAAAGTGGCGGAGGGTTGTCGCGAAGAAGAGCGCGTTCGCCGCGAGGATCCGCGCGGGACTTTTACCTATAGAAATAGAAGCTAGTTTGGAAAGCTGAAAAAGGCTCCCCGGCCAGGAAGTTCTTCACGGTCTGCGCGATCTCGACAAAGAGCTCCTTCCCGCCGGTGCTGAGCCTCTCCTCGCACTGCGCTATCAGCGAGTCGTTCAGGATGTCGACGACCTCGGAGCCCTCCCTCTTCAGGTACTGCTCGAACAGGTCCTTCGCCAGCTCGGTGCGATTCTCGTCCATCTCGATCTCGTACTTCTCGATCGCGTCCAGAAAGAGATTGTAACGATGGTAGGCCGGCTTCTTGTCCTGGCAGAACTGCCTGAACAACAGCCGGCCGATCGGCTGCTGGTCCACCACATAGCTGTACCTGATGTCTTTCGGAGGGGGACAGGTACAGGGAGAGAGAGACAGAGAGAGAGAAAAAAAGAAAGAATCCGGGTCATGAATCTGGTAATACGGTTTTACGAGCGGCCGTTCGGGGAGTCCGGTAAATTTTCATGAGGTGGCGCCTAAATTCATGGCGACCCGGCGGGACTGTGCGAGTATGCCTTCTGTTTACTTCTAGACGGCCTTCTTTTTACATTGCTCCCTTTCTTTGGTGATATTGCGTCGGCTGGATTTTCGTCGCGAATGTACAGATTTTAACCGTTTGAGTACTATAGCGCTCTTGTGTTGTGCCAAAATTGCGGAGAGAGCGGAGGCGCTTCTATCAGTATCAATTATAATTTTCTTACGTTCTTCAAGAAATAAATCGAAGTGAATTTATTTGAGTAAATGTTATTTTTTGATATTTTTTTGTAATAGCACAATATTTGTGATTTCATTGGATAAGTACTCTTATTAATTTTGTTGCGTACACACCGAATCACTTCCGCAATTTTGGTAAATATCCACAAAAGTTGTTATTATTTATTTACTTCTTTTCCTTCTAATTATTCATTTCTACTTTTCTTATTACTCTGAGATTGGAAAAATCGAACGATCGCACTGTTTCACCTTTTGAACTCTGTAGGCTCCAATATTGCACCAGTTCTAATATTAACCCTTGGCACTCCAGGTTGTTTTGTAATCTATCAGCAACTGCAACTAATTTTTATAGTATTCTTAAGGAAAACGAGAAATGCTATAACATTTCTTCGATCTATATTTTCCTTCTTAGTACAAAATTCGGTTGTGTGGAGAATCGAATAATTTTAGGGTAGTTTCTTTAAGATTCATTAAAATATTTAATATTATTACTACTGCAATATTGGAGCCTACAGAGTTCAAAGGGTTAATAATTTCAATGAATCTTAAAGAAACCACCGTAAAATCATTCGATTTTCCGCACATCCAAACATTCTACCAAGGAAAATAAAATATCGAAGAAATGTTACAGCATTTCTCATTTTCGCTGGGAATACTATAAAAATTAGTCAAAGTTGGTGATAGATTACAAAACAATCTGGAGTGCTAAGAGTTAATATTAGAACTGGTGCAATATTGGGGCCTACAGAGTTCAAAGGGTGAAATATTTCAATGAATCTTAAAGAAACCACCGTAAAATCATTCGATTTTCCGCACATCCAAAGTTCTACCAAGAAGGAAAATAAAATACCGAAGAAATGTTATATCATTTCTCATTTTCGCTAGGAATACTACAAAAATCAGTCACAGTTGCTGATATATCACAAAACCTGGAGTAGTAAAAATTTGTTTTCGTAAAAATAGAAAAGCGTAATTCAATTTCTAAATCGAAACGAAAGAAACGCGATCGCGCCGCTTGCCGTTTTTCGACCGGGTTCTCGCAAAAACCCGTGGGACTCGAACGGTTAAAAAAACCAGCCCGAATTCCGTTAATTCGACGTTCGGGCACAATGCAAGCGTGTTCGGCGGCCGGTTTACAATCGAGAAGCGGGCGAGTCGCGAGACGCTGACACAATTCGTGCCCGACCGTGAAACGGCCGGGCGCACCGCGAGGAATCCCGGGAATTAATTTCAATCGGGCCGGCGAACAGCGAAATTTCGATCGTGGATTCACGCCGTAGAAGTTGGCCGCGCCGCGATCCAAGCAACACGAATATTTCCCGGCGATTCAATTAATCCGCCATCGCCGAATCCCACGGTTCCCGCCGTCGAGCGTTTCGCAACCGAGTAAGTAGCTATGGGAATCGCGAAGACATTAACGCGACGCGTAATTATAGGGGCGAATGGATCCCGAGGAGCAGCGTAATTGCAGTTTTGCTCCAAGCCGGCGGATTCGGTGTCGTGCGTCGTGTACAACGGGTGTCCAGAAAATCACCCGCTTTCGATTAACGCTATTCATACCGCGAGCAGGCGAATGACTGTTTTTGAAATTTCGATTAGAATTTCCTATAGACAACGTAATGGAATCTGTTAGATGAGTTTAATTAAGATTAATGAAGAAGATTGTGGTTATAGTTGGTTTTAGACGGTTGCCTGAGTGTTGACACGTTTTCATTATTGAAATAAATGCTGATAGCGAACGTGTTGAATTAATAATGTCCCATTAAGACTTACTTTTTATTTGCTAGGTTGGTCGGTAAACACACACGAAATTGTAAAAGGTACCGGAATAAGTGTGTCTGCGATGAGTAATGAATTTTATATTAGATTATTTAGTTATATATTCAGTTCCGTCTTATTCTGGCTTAATACTTTCGCAGACGGTCATTTTCTCGCTCGTCTGAAACTGTAAGCTGCTTAGGAAGAAATAAGTCTGAAGTTATTTGCCGCGGACTTATGTCATTGACAGCATTATATGAAGTGTGAAATTTGTTTCGAAATGTCCAAAGGATCGTAAATATATATATACATATATACATTCAAAGATTTTGAAAAAAATCAATAAATTTAACAGTAGAACCACAGTACCAGTAAAAATTAGTTTCAATGCTCTTATTCTATAATTACTGACACCATAAACGCCAAATACATAAAACTACTGGGAAAATAAATATTTCTAAAATAGAAAATAAACATTCTTTTACATAATATAATAAATATCAATAGAAAAAATTGTATTTTTATAATATTTACAAGAATGCAATATAATTGTTATAAGAATCACGTATTAATCATATCAACCCTCTGCACTCGAAGATTTTGTAGGACTAACAATTAAACGATAAAATAATATTTTACGTAAGACTATAATTTTTCTGTATCGAATCGAGTGTCGACTGACAGTCACTTGATTGGAAAGGATTACTTGCAATTAGTGGTTAAAAGGAGCTTTCAATCGTAAGCCTAAAATCGCTTTGAAAAATTCTGTTGTCCAGTCGCGAGCGTAAAACGATCGGTTACATACTTCGATTTCGACTAATTCCCTTATGAATGCTTGGTAGCGTTGTTTAGGTTCCGACTGTAAATACGGTCGCGTTTCCGTTTGTAAATGCGGTCACAATTTGGACGGTGTGTGTGGTCCGGTATTCAGTTGCGACTGTGGTCGATGTTTCGGTTGTAAACACTGCTGCGGTTCGATTATGAGACTAGCTGAGGTCCCGCTCGTAAACACAATTATGCATTCGGTAGGTATTAACAGACATTAACTCCAATTTTCCGAAGAACCAATCAACACGGAGGTAAAAACTTCAATAGTCGAGTAACTTATCTTCAGACTGTTTTTGAAACTTGAATCGATGCTTTATAGAAATTTTTCAATTTTTACTATATTCTTCGAGAAATAAATCAAAGTAAATTCATTTGAATAAATGTTATTTTTTGATATTTTCTTGTAATAACACAATATCTGTGATCTCATTAGATAATTACTCTTATTAACTTTTTTCCATTTTTGGTAAATATCCACAAAAGTTCAGCATCCAAACGGTTAAGAAAAAACCCGGAGTGCCAAGAGTTGAACAAAACAACATTCGCTACACCTCGATTTACAAAACGAACGATCGACCCAACACGATACCCACAAAACGTCCAATTACCGTTTTGTCCGCTCTCGTCTCGACTCCCCGAATCATTCCTCACTCGCTGCTCGCCCCGGCGAGGCTCTCTCGGCTCTCCGAACGCCCGAAGTTCACGCACAGCGATACCCCGGATCGCAACAGGCGAGAAGAACGGTCCGTAATTGATCGGCCGAAACGGTCGATTGAATCGGCAGGTATTAATCGCGGGACGTGCGTCGGTCCGTGAAGCGAATTCGATCGGAGGAGGTCGGAGACGGTTGGCCCCCGTCCCCTCGACGACGACAGAGCGATCGGTCATTACTGTTTAATTAACCGAGACAACAGAGCCCGATAGCTTCTTATCTGACTGGGTGAACGGGATAAGGCAAGGACGACGCCGCCGCTCCCCGCTCGTCCGTTCCCCGCCGTGAGATTCGCGGCGACGTGATTCAATAATCCGCGGCGAGGTCAACGGAGGGGTCGCGCGTTGATTAACCGCGGGATCCGAGGACGAGGGGGGAGCGGCGCGGAAAGAAACCGAGTTCCATCCCGAGCGGGCGGACGAGATATCGTGCCCCAGTTTCGGGAGCTGGTCGACGGCTCGGAAAAATCGAGGACGCCGCTACTTTTCCGCGTTTTCGAGTTTCAGACGATTCGTCGGGGCTCTCTTTCCGCCGGAGACCGGGTTAGCTTGCGTAAACACGGTTGCTAGGGACGTTATCGGAGGCGGGAGTTCGCCGAGATGACAGTTTGCGTGAGTGGAGTCCCGCTTGGCTCCACGCGATTTTGAAGAAAGGTGCAGAGTAATGAGATGAATGGAAATGTATAGTTAGAAGGGGAAGATTGTAGTGTTTGTATACGTTGTCTTCGGGTTATCACAATCGTAGATTTTATTTGACAACGGCGTCGACTTATGTTATCGAAGTCGAAAGGGAAGGCGAAGTCAGAGACGAATGAAGTTAATTTGATTCTAGGAAGCTATATGCTGGCACTTTTGGGGGGTTAACGGGAGCTTCAATTCATCCCTCTGACCGCTTTAAGCTGGGTTAACACTGGGTTTAGTGAGATTTTTATATACCTGCTCTAGGGACAAGGGTAAAATTGACCTGCGACGAAATCGGAAGTTTTCTTGGAAAAGATACATTGATCTTATTAAATTCTGGGATGTATGGATAAAAGTGATTGCAAGTGGCAGAAAGAATGTGAACGGTTTCTGTAATTTCTCTAACGAAGTTCGAAATGGAAATTACTTAGGTGAACGTGTTAACCCTTTGCGTTCCGAATTTCTTTTGAATTTTTTCCTTGGTATCTTTGTCTTATTGTGATATTTTATTTGAAATGCATTTGAAAAATAGAGTTTGTAGAGAGCAGTGTGAAGGATTCTTTTTATTAATAATATTGAAAATAATATAATAATATAGTCTATTTGAAAAATATCTTGGCAAAGAAGCACAGCTGTGAATAAAACCACTTGATTTAACACAGCAAAACTATGAAGTTGAATATTTAGTATTTCAAACGAAACTTTGTATTGCTATACGAAATAAATAAATAATAGCCTTGTCGTCTAATTTATCTGTGAACTACCGTTAAATTAGTTTCAAACAATAGCGTCTATATCTCGTCGGGAAATGTAGAACATTTCTAGTGAAAACCTTCTGAGTGCAAAGGGTTAATAACGAATTTCTAAGGGAAAGATTCAAGTACTTCGATCCGATCAGTACCGAGATGACAGCAAGAATCTCAGGAACCGAGAAGGAAGAGTTGTATTCGCGATCGGTAGCGACGCATAGGATTTATCGTCGTTTGAGCTAGACGAACTAATAGTTGCCTCGGTAAACAGTAGATGTCTCGGATGGAATTCATGTTTTCAGTGTTTGCGCGGCCTCCGCAGAGAATTTGCGGAGAGATTCCCCCGGATTAGGTCTGATCGTTCAGCGGCCCCTTTGAATTAACTAATGCTCGCAGTTTATACCGTCGAAACGAAATTCCGCCATATTGGAGGCGGTGGATCAAATCGGTTCCGAGCAATCGATCAGGAACACTTATGCAACGTTCAATATCAATATACCATCGCTACGTCCAATATTAACTCTTTGAACTCGAGGGCTCCGGAGCAGAGCCGTTTAAAATTGATCATTACAAACTGTGAAACTTTATTATTAAATATGTTACAACGTTTATATCCATAATCGATAGAAAAGGCAATGAAATATATCTATGACTTTTCTTTTCATACACATATCGTCTATTTATATGTTAATATGCTTTTTCTATTAAAATTGCTTGGAATTGCCGGTAATACCGATGAGAAAAAATTTCGAGTGCAAAGGGTTAAAACGTCCCTACAACATTAACATATTCGTTTAAAACAAACTAACAATAATTTTCATATGAATCTTAAATAATCTTTTAACATATTCAAATATACTTGAAGCTACATTAACGAGACAATACTCCTTAACATACATAAAATAACTAAATAATCTGTTCAACGAGTAAAATATAAATATACTCTAAAACAATCGAATTACCTCGAGTAAAAAAGAATAATTAAGTTCACATTACTCCGAATAAAAGTAACAAAAGAAATAATTGAGTAAAGAAATGAAAATTCTACGGGTCAGCATAGACCCAGCCGTCGCTGGACGACAATAGTTGAACTAGATTCTTCGAATGCACAGAACGATAGTAAAATTCAGAATAGAAATCAAACTGTTCTTCTAAACGTTCAACGCGATACTGAACAGTTAATCCGAGACATCTTTAACTACCTATAGATTCTCGGAGAACCAATCGAACCCGTCCGACCGCAATACGCTCGATATTTTAATCGATGTATCTACGCGGGATGTAGCCCCCCGCTTTATCCCTCTTATCGGTGTCTACTTATTATCGTTATCACCGGCGGATTAGAATAGGCGGATTAAATAACGTAATACCGGGATCGTCTCGTTAACGAACACGCTCGGCGTTTAGCGTAGGAATACACGTTTAGGTGATGCGCGTGTGGGTACGGTGTGCACATAGCAGCAAGGGTGAACATTTGCAGCCGAGTGGGCGTACACACTTTTCAAAATGACTGGAGCGGGTTCTAAACGAGAGAAACTGGATCGTTGGAGTTGTCCGCCGGTTATGTCACCGAGGAATATGCTTTACACGCGTGGACACGCCCTTTGACGTTCGTTGCGTTCTCCGACAACGATTTCAGCGAGGATGTAGGTACATATTAATTTTAAATAACAATCAGAATTCATTAGAAACGAAAAATATTTGTCCTTTAAGGTAGTTAATCCGCTGCGTCTATGTAACAAGGTTTTAGCAACGCCCACAGTCCCGCCTCCTCGCGTTCGGCACGCCCACTAGCGTTACGTTTTAATAAACACACCCACGTTCATCGTGAAGAACGATAGGAACGCGTTAGAAACAAGGACAGGAATGTTTCTGACATTACTCGATGATTGAATCGACGAACTATGTTTCATAAACGTACACAGTCCCGCCTACTGCCTCTTGACTCCGCCCGTTACATGGAAAATAACAAGATAGTAGCGGAGAAAGTAGAAAAACTCGAGTGGACAACGTTATTCGTTATAAGTAGAATGAAAGTTAGCGTACTCTCTCAATTAAACATTCTTTTAAAACATGTAACAGTTAGAATCAATCCGTTTGCTCCGCCCACGATGTAAAAGGGCGTAGGAGAATAGCAAATAACGTGTCGCTCGTTCGAATACGATCAGAATGAAAAGTCTTGTGCGTGTAATAACTCACCGAGCTTATCTTTTAGGCCGATGCACTGGGAGATGTGGGGGAACTGAAGTATCTTCCGCCATTTTTTGCTCTTACCCTTGTTGCTGTCACCACCCCCTGGAACCAAACGAAAAGAAGAACAATTAACAACGAACGAAAAGCTGCGCGACCCCGTCAACCGTAATTAATCTTTTATTGATCGGGTGATTTACTCAAGGACACCCCGAACCACGTGACCACCGTTTTCGACGTCTGAGACCATTCCTACGGTTCCACCCTTCAATGTCACACGCACTCCTCGACATACGACGCGTTTTTTCGCTACACGCGGTCTACTTCTCCATGGGCTGTAACAAAATCCTCCTACGGCGAGACAACGTTCCCATTCTACAGAGACACGGCCAACGGGAGCAGCGTTACGTATGATCTGACAGAGATCGAAGATAAAAATACTTTTTCCATCAAATCCCTTTCCACGCTGTAAATCATTTTCCCTTGTAACGAGAGAATGTTATCTTCGATCTCCGGTTCGTTAACTGGAATACGATGGTTCACAGAGCTTTCCTATCTCGACCGTCATTCGATATTTATTGAAATATTATTTTTATGAACCATGCTGGACGGCACGGTTAAATTGAAAGGAAAATGGAAAATATATTCATCGAACGCATGGAAAATATTTCACGTTGCAAGAGTTATTTTATATGGATAAATGATATATCTCTTGCACAATTTTTACTCGTATTTGTATAAGAAATGAAATTCTATTATTTTATTAAATTGAGCAACGCAATCGTACGTTCGAATGAAAGATTGATTGTTAAACGTTTATTATGTAATAGTCTTCGCTAATTTGAATTTTCTAAAATATAGTATTTGCCATGTATTTTTATGTTTAATGAAAATTTTTCAAGGAAAAATGTCGAGAAAAGTGTAAAACGAAATCGTGGAGTACTATGCGTGACGGTTTTGTCTAGACGCGCGAAGGGAAACGGTTCCGTAGTTAATCGATACGCGAGCGAGCAGTTCGAAATAGTTTTAGAGTTCGACTAACCACAGGTGAAGTGGCACGGTTCCGTTTTGTGAGCCCGCAATTATTAGTTTTCGGAGTTTCGACGGTGTCGAAGTTTAAAGACCGTGTATTACCGCTTTCGCTGTTCGAGAAGACACTCGAGTACAATTAAAATTCGCGGAAGCGTTTAATCATTCGTGACTAATTAGTAACGCAAAATGTTGGCGTTTTAATAACGAAGTTCGGAGACGTAACTTCTCGGGGATCAAAGTTTTATACAATTCCACTTTCTACTGAATAGATGATACATATATTTTTTACTTAAGTTTACTTGTAAATATAACGTCTGTGCGAAGAAAGAACTAAGAAGATGTTATTCTTTGTCTTTTTCGTGTTTCTAAAGAGATTTCCATATTTTAAAAATATAATAAATTTGTTTAATGATAAGAAACGAAGGATTATGATGTACTTCGAAATTGATTGATAAAATTGATGAGTATTAAAAGTAAATTGTAATATTATAACAGTGACATGTAATTCACATTAACTTTGTTAGAACTAATAAAAAAAGAAAGAAAAATCAGAAATAAGATCCCATGTAATGTTTAAAATAGAAGTGTGAAACATTTAATAGGAAAACAAGCGAATGAAGTTTCTCTCAGCCCTGAGAACATTAAAACAAAATTTAGAATACATAAAAATGCAATCCTACAGAATTCCAAAGAAAACTCCGCAAAAGCTGGAATTCTGTATAACATTTAAAACAGAAATGCGGAAATTTCAACAAATAAAATATATCTCGCCCCTAGAAACATTGCAAACCAACGTAAAAATATATAAATAAGAAATCCTACAGAATTCCGAAAAAAACACAAAAGCTGGAATTCTATTGTACATAACATTTAAAACAGAAACGAGGAAACTTCGATCAGAAAAGAGAGCAGCGAATAAAATATATCTCACCCCTAAAAACGTTAAAAACCAAAGTAAAAATATACAAATAAGAAATCCTACAGAATTCCAAAGAAAACTCCGTAAAAGTTGGAATTCTATATAACATTTAAAACAGAAATGCGAAAACTTTGATCAGAAAAGAGAGGAGCGAATAAAATACATCTCACCCCAAAGACATTTAAAAAAAAGTAAAAGTTTCTAAGTAAGAAATCCGATAGAATTCCAGAGAAAACTCCGTAAAAGCTGGAATTCTACGTAACACTTAAAACGGAAATCTGCAACAATTCGAAATAATGAAGTTCTCTCGACACGCGAAGTTCAAGCGTCACGAACGACAAACTCGAGACACGCTCGGACTCCATTCCGGTTTAGCGAATCCGAATTCCGCGTCGAATGGACGGGTTCGAGCCGCGGCGAAAATTCCCGCAGTCTATTTCATCGGGAACGGCTTCAACAAAAGAATCTCATCTTCGATTTATTCCGTCGGGCGGTGTTACCAGCCCCCTCGCGCCGCGAATTACGGCGCAGCCTGCGTGAAACTCGATTGTATAAGTGGGTTAACGTCGTCTTTCGTTCGTCGCGATTCAAGCGCACACGCTCCAATCAGCTTCCAGCTGCCGAAGGATGCCGTTCTCCCCCGTGAACATCCACGTAGACGGGGGCGAAAGGGGCGGGCTCCGCGAGGGATGAAAATTTCGACGGACGTCGATCAAAAATTTACTTCCTCCGTTGGGGAACTTTATTGCACGAAAAATATACTATAAACTTCATCCGCTTCTTTTTCATTTTAATGCGAGAACTTTCCACGTACTCCGTCGGTTTTATATGAATTACTCGTTTTACGGGCGACTCTTTTAATAAAATAGGTTTACGCGTGTATTGTCCGCGGAATAATTAATCTTGAGGAATTTACCGAATTGGTTTGGACTTGGTTAGTGGAGGTAAAGAATGTTTTTTTTTAATATGATGGATAAGGGATGTTTTTAATTTTGAGAGGGGTTTGCTCGGCCAATTGGAAAATTGAACTTGAATTTAATGGACGTGGGTACTCTTCGGTTCGTGTTGAGTGGAGGGTAATATTATTTTGTGCTTATAAATGTTATAATTGTTATATCATAAATATTATAATTACTATAAATATTACGAATGCTGTAAATATTATAATTATAAAAATTGTAAATACTATAACTATTACAAATCTTATGAATATTGAAAATTACAACTCTCGAGAAACGATATCCAACTTCCCCCTCTTCAATCTAATTAACTCCCATTCCCCGATACTCCTCTTACCCATCCTTAATTCCGAAAACCCCGATAAACCGCTAGCCAAACAATAAACGAGGAAAATAAAAGTGCCTCGGTCCACTGCGAGCGGTATCAGAATACCCGCCGTCAAAGGATTAACATCGTTCCGCGCTCGTAAATACCGAAAGACACTAAACACGCGCGCCCAAAGCAAATACACAGCTCCGTTCCCCGTCGGCAACTGATTAACAATAAAGCCCGCGTGTGCCGGGCACGCGAAATAAATCGCGGGGACAATCGTAATAAAGACATGGCCGAGCGACTTTTAATCAGAGCCGGCATAAACGCGGCCGCGGAGCGAAACGGAATTGCCCGGCGATGATTTACAACGCCTCCATTAGATTTTTAATTGCCGGCGCATGACTGTGTGCGCGACGGTGCTCGCGCGGAACTAGATTGTGCAAGTGGGTTAACGTCGTCTTTCGTTCGCCGGCGAGCCGCCTGCCTCTCGCTCTCCAATCGGCTTTCGACTTTCGAAGGATGCTCGTCACCGTCAAGAGCCCGCCGCTACGCTTCGTCGGGGGATGCACGACGGGCAGAAGGGGCACGAAAATTTCCTCGAAACGCGCTCGTCATCGATCGACGCCGAAAGGGCAAGGAACCGGGAAAACGGGGAACGCCACCGCGGTTTTCGCGGATTCGCGAGCAACCGATTGCTGTCGGCTCTTGACGCGAGCGACGTCGTTTCCTTATGGTAGTTTATATATTTTGGGTATTTTCTCGAATAGATATGTACTTCTTTTCTACTGTTAGGTCTTGCCATAAGCAATGTCGTTTGTTTATGATAGTTTCCATATTTTGGGTATTTTTAGAATGAAAAATGACACTTCTCTAGAATAGATATGTATTTCTTTTCTATTGTTAGGTCTTGCCATAAGCAGTGTCGTTTGTTTATGGTAGTTTCCATATTTTGGGTATTTTTAGAATGAAAAATGGCACTTTTCTCGAATAGATATGTACTTCTTTTCTACTGTTAGGCCTTGCCATAAGCAATGTCGTTTGTTCATGGTAGTTTCTAGTGTGAAAACTTTAACTGTTAATTGTGTTTGATGAGTATATTTTGGATACTTTCAAACTGAAGGTAATGGCACTTCTTTTGATAATTAATTACTTAATTTTTCGAATAGATATGTAATACTTTTTCTACTGTTAAGTCTTGCCACAAGCAATGTCGTTTGTTCATGGTAGTTTCTAGTATGAAAAATTTAACTGTTAATTGTGTTTGACGAGCATATTTTAGTTATTTTGAACCCGAAAATAATGGTACTTTTTTTGATAATTAATGACTTCGTTTTTCGAATAAATATTCAATGCGTTTACCATTAGCTCTTTCTGGAAGTAATCTCGTTATCATATGGTAACTTGTAGCTCAAAAAATTTATGAAAATACACAAGATAATGCTACTGCCTTCAACAATCAATTACTTGGTTCTTGTTCCATGCACTCATATTTCTAATAAATGTAGAAAATCAGTTGTCTACTGAGACATTTCCACGATCGTGTGCACAGCAGCAGTTCGATCCGCCAGCGGATAGCCGAAGGGTCGGTTCTCCCTTTCTTCGATTAGGGTTCGAAACGGAGGGTTTGATACAATTGGTCGGTGGAATTAAATACAGGATGATTCAGAACTGACGGGGAATTAGCGAAATTCGGTAGAGATCGTTTGATAGCGTGAGATTGGCTACGTGATACGTGAGAAGCGAAGATTCAACCCTCCACGAAGCAAGCTGGATATCTTATCCAATTCGAATCGCTGCGAACTTTACTGATTTTCCTTGCATTTAATTGTATTCACTCGTAAAATATAATTCTAACGATCACGCGAAGAATAAACGAGTTTCA